CAGCAACCTGAGACCAGGGCTCTGACTTCTCTTGTCACCTGGTCCTTGAGTTGAGCTGTCAGGGCCAGAACAAGGGATTGCTGTGACGTAGCGAACCCTCCTTCCCCGGTAATGGCTAGCCCTGTAGCTCCCGTCGTACCTGCCCCTCCCAGTCGTAACCGAGATGCTCCGGCCCAGCCCCATCACCATAGACCCCCCCCCTCCCACAGCCCCCGTTCTTCTCAGCAGGCCATTCATACCATGCACTCTAGGATGAGAGGCAGATCCGGGCCCCCATCCACTTCTGCTTCTGCACTCAGTGGAGGGGGCTCCAGGTCGCACTCTCAATCCCCCGGCCAGGCATTCTCCACATACATACCCCACTATAACATTAAAAACATACAATAGTACAATAAAATAGGGAATAAAATTCAATTAATTTAAAAACGTGGGATCATTCAACTACATGCATACTACACACATTCCACATACAGAAAGTTTGCGCAGATGTTAATATTAGTATTGTGCAAGCGGATTCATAAGTTCATAAGGCGGATTCATAAGTTCGAGTAGATGGAGATCAGCGGTAGTGTAGAGGGAGAGTGATTCGTCTTCCTTTCTTTCTTATGTACTAGAACAGTGTAACAAAGGGGTCCAAAAGTCTGGAGTGGCTGAAGTGGTATCCCTGGGGCATCGGCGGGCGGCAGTGGTCGCAACAAATGAGACCAAGGTCGTATAGAACATAGCAATATAAAACCAAATGTGCTACCAGTTTGAGAATTATATAACAAATATCTCCTTGTTTGAGACTTTTAAGCGACATTTAAAAGTATAATTTATCCCATGAAGACATCTAAATTTCCAAGATGATTTGCTATATTAAGATATTTTGACACCACCACCACCCCGCTTTTCTTTGGACTGAAGGTCTAAGTATGCAATCTCTTTTATTGATAAATTGCTTTTTAAAAAAACAACCTACAATTTTAAGTAGACTATGCCTTTCCCATTTCAGGTTACCAAAATCAGCATCAAAGTAAGGCTATAAGCATGTTGTCATTCATTGTCAATCTGCAATGAACATATCTAGTGATTCATCTATATTGCATGACAATAAAATACTTCTTGGTAAAAGGCTAATAAGGAGCTTATTCCCATTGTCATTCATTCTGAGAAGAATAGCAAATTGTAGAAAACTGAAAATGGACTCTATTAGTAATATACACCAATATATTACAACATTCTAAATTTTGGGAAGAACTGTATGTGAATGAAGGCCAAAACCAGCTAAAGAACTGACAGCTGTGATTTGTAAACAATAACAACAATAATAATTTTTGATAGAAGCATATTATTCCATATTAACTGTCCACAAAGATAGCTAAAAAGTTAATATATATCCCTGGGAAAGTTCTAACCTAAACACAATCCTTGAGTGGGTAGTTGGTACTCTTTGCTTTAAAAAAAAATACAAATGACAGGTCTCCAAAGGATTTTTTTCCTCTCCTTAATTGATTACATATTTTCTCATTTTGTTAACCAAAGTTGTGATTTAGTATTCTCATTATTATTTTAGAATGATCATATTTATTTAGAAGTCTTCACCAAAACAGCACATCACATTTCAGGTGTGTTGGTACAATGTGTATAAAAACTTGTTATTTATTGTGTTTCTATTCTTATCCTGATTATCTCTTTTTATGTCATCACTTTGGTGTGTGTGTGCACACATTGGCTAAGGAGGGTTACAGTTGACAGCAATAGCAGTTAGACTTATATACCGCTTCATAGGGCTTCCAGCCCTCTCTAAGAGGTTTACAGAGTCAGCATATCGCCCCCACAATCTGGGTCCACATTTTACCCACCTCGGAAGGATGGAAGGCTGAGTCAACCCTGAGCCAGTGAGATTTGAACCTCTGAACTGCAGATAGCAGTCAGCTGAAGTGGCCTGCAGTACTGCACTCTACCCACTGCGCCACCTCGGCTCTTTCTGATCATAGTCCATTCTTGCTTACAGTTTAATAGATAGGATTATCCTGGGTTTGAATATCATAAATTAAAAGTAGATCCTGGCCCAATATGGTATTAACTATGAATTCCTCCAAGGACATGTATATGTGGGCTTTAAAACCCAGTTGCCCATTAGAACTGAACCCTCATTTACCCTTTCCAAATTATGCCTCCAGATACTTCCCCCACCCCCAGACATGATTTCTTACTTTTATTCACAGCAAAATAATCATGCCCATTCATCTAAAGAAATGAAGAACAAAAATAGATAAGTTGCAAAAGATGATTAAAAACTCTATCATTCTCACTGGAAGTTAGAAGAAGTACTTCAGAAGTAAGATGTGATTCAGATAGCGAGAGAGAGAGAGAGAGAAGGAGAGATGGAATGTAATATGATTGATTCCTAGGAGGCAGGGATGCATTCTAGAAGAATAAGAAACAACCCAATTCAGATATTTGGGCTGAGAGAAAGAGAGTGAAGACAGCTCCTCCCTAGTAGATCTCCAAGTTCTGCAGTTTGGCAGGATTCTGTCTTAGGCGTGAAAACAATAAAGAATCTGCTTGGAAGGTTTGCTATGTGTTTGTGTTTGTGCGCGTGCATATGTGTGTGTGTGTGTGTGTGTGTGTGTGTGTGTG